TTAAGGACATATACCTGTAAAGATACCACTTCTTTCGTACAGAACATTTAGTAGAAGTTTTAAGAAAAACAAGGAATTGAAATGGTCTTTCTCTGTAGGAGTTTTAAAATTGCAACATCGTAACCTAAAATACAGCTTACAATCAAGGCTGTTAGCAGGACATTGAAATGTACTTAACTTCAAAATTAAGATACCCATAAAGTTTAGCCTCTTCTCTTAAAACTAGTTATAAATACTGTTAAATACTGCAGATCTTTAATTAACATATGCAGCCCTGATTGGCAGTACTTATTTACTTGTGAAGTTACTGAAACTAAACAATCCTGTAATGTAAGAGCACGTGGCAACTAACACTGACGCAGTGTTTCTGGAAGAACATGAGCTGCCTCCTCATTCCACAGTTACAACTGGAATGGCAAAGCCATAAGAATTTCTGTATATTGCCCAGGTGATATCCTTAAAACATCTCATGTCAGATGTTAAACTTCTTTTACATGACTGGGAGATTTTTTTTTTTTGTAATCTCTGTTTTTATGTTATAGAGTTTCTAAGTTGAGGTACTACAATGAACTGCACCTATCAGAGTAATCTCACAACACACACGACAAACATAGCTACTAATGACAACAAATAGGAGTAGGACTCTGGTTGTTTCAAACGTGGTAATAAAGGATACACAGTGGGGTTGAAGTTCTTCAGCACAAAAAATGAAGCAATGATGACCAAGACCAGAAAGAGAGTATTGTTGTAGAAGATGGAAAAAGTTGTTGCTTCATAATCTGCAACTTCATTTTTCTTCCACAGAATTCTACGAACAAGTAGAGACATTATTTCAGGCATATTTAAATCAATGCGTATTCTGGCACACCCACCATTATGAAGCAAGTGACACCACATGCTGCTGCTCTTGTTATAGCCAGCTTCTAAAAGACAGAGCGCAGCAACAACTACCAGTCAACTCATTAGTTAAAGACAAAACCCTGCATATACTATGCACTTGTACACTTATGTGACTTACGCTTGTTCTCCTACCAGGCATATCAAAACTAGCCCTTTATAAATAACACTTTTTGTGAGTTTGTATCTGTCAGATGCTACCAGTGTACCTGGCAATTAGAAGGGAAGATACGGCTTTTTGCTCCAAAGAGCTGACAGTTCATGTCCTTGTGTCTTGTGCGTAATGGGCATCTACTCTAATACTAAGTGCTTCCCAATACGCTCATCGGGCATAGCCTGGGTATTAGTATGAGCTATTCAATTGGAAATCTGCATACTGAGACGTGCCAGTTATAACCATGAGGGGTAACAAGTACAACCAGTGATTAGCAGTGCAGTCCAGCAGTATATGGAAATGTTATTCTGAAGGAACTTGCATGTCACTATGCAAAATACATTGCGCTAGCCTGTCCTTGAGAAAAAGAGCTTTTCTTATTTCTGAAGACAGCTGTGATGCTTACTCTTCAGAGAGTTATTAGAAGGCCTGTACAATTAGCTGTTTTGCTTTGCAGCTCAAGGACAGAGAGGTTGCCTTATAGGACCTTATTGATAAAGGTTTCAATGTTTGAGACCTTTCATAACTTGCCTCAAAAGGGCTTTATAGATGAACAAAGAGCTGACAGTACAGCTTCTACTTACCAGAATACAGGAAAAAAACCAATGGCCAAGCAACAGTCCCTAATATCCTACCTGGAGCCTTAAAGATACCAGGCAGTATTACAACAAGGGAGAGAAAGAAGGGAACAAAGAGGATTACCTTTCATCCTTCTCCTTACGAGACATCTTCCTATTGTCTGCCTCAGACAGCTTGCGAGTAACTTCTTTGGAAACAGCGTCTTCTCTTTTCTGTGCTACTCTGTAAGAAACACCATTTAAGTTGAAAAACGAAAATAAAAAACCCCGGGGTTATAGGAAGTTGTATTTCCCGTGAAGAATAATACTTTGCCAAGACACTGAACAGTTTTGCCAAGTTGAAGGGACAACAAGTAATAATCAAATTACTAAAAGTATTAGGCAAATATAGTTTCTGGCAATACCCACTGAGAATGAAGGTAGTTTTGCTATTTTATTGTACACTTAGCTGACAAGGCTAGTCTGTTCTGTAATTACAAGAGAGATGACAGAAACCAATTAGGGGATACTTCTGTGTAAAAGAGTTTTTGGAGTAACATTTCAGACATTCTTATTCGTTAAAAAAATGTTGTAAATCCTGATTTTGTTAAATTATTTAATAATAAATTCTATTTCAAATAGCCAACAAACTTACTTATGTTTGAGAACAAACTTGACGTTCTTATATGCAAAAGCGACTAGATAGGTACTGATGAGGGTCATTACACTATACAGGACTGCAGACTGAACAAGATCCATATGCCATATCCTCCAGTAAAGCCCTTAAAAGAAAAAAAAGAAAAAAACAAACATTTTGAGTGGTTTCTCTCTCAAAGAAAAATGTCCCCACAGGAATCCTATGCTAGCTCTGCCAGACCAAAACCAGTTCCTGCAAAATCACTTGGGGGGTCTCCGAACAACATTAAAAAATACTTTTGAACAGAGAAATCTGCTCTGCTTTTGGCTGAAAGGGGCCTTACAAGACCACGTCAAACTTGGCTGAGAAGCAGCCCAGCGCAGACAGCCTGCCAGCTTCACGCAGCGCTGATGCTGACACGTCAGTGTTCCACCAGCAGCTCGCCCACCTTTACAAACCACAGAACAACCTCCCTGCCCGCTGTTCCAAGCGGGACCGGCTTCGAAGCTGGATCTAACACGGCACGGAGACAGCCGAGATAACCCCGCCTGGGGTCGGCTCAAAGCCGGCCAGGCCCGGGGCAAGGCAAGCCCCGGCA